ATATCTGAGATTCGAACTCTAGTCTACCGTATGGGCAAGAACGTTGACGTTGACCACAGGACCATCTACGCGTTTATTTTTGCTATAATACTCGTAATTAAATTGACTTCATGTAGTTTTATTAATTAACAAATTATTTATAATTAAGGACGAAATAAAATTAAAAATTCTATTATTTATCGATTCTTTACAAGAATAACTCATTTTAATGTATGTTTAATCTCAACTAAAAAATATACTGACAATTAGTTTGACAGAATTGTCACTTATTTAAAATTCTAAACATGAACTGTGATTGGTTGATTTCATTTATTTGTTTTCACTACCTAGAATGGATATGAAATATATTTGTTCAGTTGAAGGCAATACCATATTCTTCGTTTTTTTTTCATGCCTGTATTATCTAAATCTCCTTGTCCTACTTGTTGTAAATTTTCTTCCTCGTCTCCTGCATTTTCTTCCATTTTTCCAAGCTTCTTTCCTCCTCGCAAATTCAAATACTTTTTATACTTTCAAACATTTTTTCTAACGCTTTTATATAACACTTTTAACCAAACTTTTACTTGTCTATATAAATCTTGTGTACTTCTGTGTTCTCCCTAATGTAATTTTACCACAATTTTAAAATTTTCTATCCTAAATGATTACACCATTTACACTGTTCTTACCCCAAATAAAAGAATCAACAATTTAATTATAAATAAAAGGTCTTACCAAATCAATTTGGTACAAATTTCGTTTCCTTGGCTTTGTACTTCCAAATTTTGTCTGCCTTCTTCTCCTTTTTTACGCCCCTCAAAGTTTGTATAGCCCCACGTTGGGCGCCACTTGATATGGAAACACCAAGTATATGGATTTCCAAAAAATATTTTAAATACTATCAAATCTCAAACTGGGCGGGTTCAAAATCTAGAAAAATTCATTTTGTATAAAAAAAATGAAAATAATTGAAAATCAGTTAAGTTAAAAAAAATCTTTTATTTCTCTAACCTGGCTGCTCTGATTCTGCTCCTGCTGTTGGTTCTTATTCTAACTCTGGTCTTTCTTTTTATACTCTCCTAGCCTCCTACCTCCTGCTGTTTCTTTTTTATCTGCTTGCCACTATTACTCTATTTTGTATCTTAGTTTCAATTAAATAACTGGTGACTGTAAATAATACGGACACAACAATTTTCACTATTTTCATTCGTCATTATCATTGGCTGATTGCATAATCTCGCGCGCGCCTATCGAGTCGTGTTCTTCCTCTTCTTATCGGGACAGCCATTGTATAATATTTTTAGCGTCAGTCTGTGGACATAATCATAATTTTTTCGTGATTGTGTGTTTTTATATATTGTTTTTTTTTATATTATTTATTTGTCATTATTAGAACTGTGGTATACCTGAACTAGTAAACTTTATCTGGATACAAGGAATCAAGTTTTAACATTTTCTTATCCACATCTATGAGTGATATTTATTTTTAATACTAAACAGACGGTTATGATTTTGTTGCTAGTCTCATTAAAAAAAAAAAAAAAACTAAGTGAGTATTGATGTTAAATATTTATTATTATAAGAACTTATGTACAGGGTATTCATATTATGCACTGTACAAACTTAAATATCATATTCCTGAATTCATTTTAAGCATAAAATATCCTATGAAACTAATATCCAATTCTCCATGGTTACCAAGCTACAAGAGTTCAAATATCAAAAGACATATTAACATAGTATGCCATGTGTTCGAATATGTCGAAACACAGTACTGAACGTTTGGTGCTTTAAAAATTGTCGCTGATACTCCATACAAGCATCTCGCGAATATTCATGACAAAATCATTAAAGGTACACTATGTCGGCATATTATTAATTCGAAAAAGGCATGTTGCAAATTTAAATTTATCATAAAAAGGAAACGCAGTTGACAAGTGTAGTACTGAGTAGTTAACTGACATTTATAATTATTGTTGATAAACAATGTGATATTTAAGTTTGTATAGTACGTCTTGCAACATTCAGTATATGTATCATTTTAGAGATGTAAAAAATGTAATCTGGACAGCTACATCTCGGATAAACAAACGCAGATGTAGTAATTGTAGTAGATGTGTCCATTGTGGACACATACTTTGATTACTATACGAGGCAAGAGAGGTCCGACACGCCCAACATATGGCGCGGCCATTTTGAACCGCCTATAATAAAACAGCAGTCTTCTGTGTATCCTGAATTTGTATCCCTGGAGTGGATGTTATTTTGGAACTTTCAACTGGTCCGAGTGAGCTAACTGATTCTTTAGTAATAAACTGTGACTTCAAAAATAATATTTACTGACACTGACAGCAGCAAGCAAAATATCAGGTGCGTTTTAGTCATCCGCTTCTGCTTCCGGAATTGTCGGTTCAGTCGTTCTAACCTGTCAGATTAAAACAAGAAAACCGACAATTCCGAAGCAGAAGTGGATGATTAAAACGCACCTATTAAAAATATTGCGCCAAGATGTAGGCAACACGTAATAAGGGTTCAAAATGGCGGAGTTTTCTATCTCCTTTCAAGAGGCACTCAGAAAGCTGCGCAGTGCGACCATTCTCCGTATAGTAAAAGAAAATCAAAGTATGTGGTGAATATTATTTTTGAAGTCACAGTTTATTGCTAAAGAATCAGTTAGCTCACTCGGACCAGTTGAAAGTTCCAAAATAACATCCACTCCAGGGATACAAATTCAGGATACGCAGAGGACTGCTATTTTATTATAGGCGGTTGTCATATATTGTATTATTCGAGTTGCACAGTGTATAAACTGAAACATTGAGATCAAAAGTGCCGACGCAGAGTGAGCGATCTGATTCTTTAGCTGTAAACTGTGTCACAGGGTTCAAAATGGCCGCGCCCTATGTTGGGCGTATCGGACCTCTCTCTTGCCTCGTATAGTAATCAAAGTATGTGAAGGCATTATATACTTTATAAATTTTTAATACTCAAAATTTGCTCAAACACAAATTAAATTCAAATTTAATTACACAAATGACACTAAAAATATAACCTATAAAATTCACAATTTGCACTTAGTAATGGCGGACCGGTCCCACTTTGCGCTTACGCATATCGTATCCCTAGGTTGCCAAATCAATGGTTGGTACAGTATCGCCATCTTATCTTATACTTTTTTTAGGGACACTTTTGTAATACAGATAAATTCTCCTCTTGTCTATAGTACATATTTAAAAATCAACCAACGTTGTCTAATCATTTTACTATTATATTATTTAATGAGTACGCTAAATAAAGTTTTCAGGAACAGTAATTTTTCTACGCTTCGCTATGATACAATCGTCACTTAACTAATTTGTTTTATAACGAATGAAGTAAAAAATCGGTCCGATCATTAAGGAGGTCCTTTCGCCACCAATGTTAAATAAAAAATATTAGATTATGACTAAAATTAATTTTTTTCTAATAGTAGATGTCCTTATTTATCTAATAGTGAACTTTTAACTATACCTTACCCTGCAAATTTTTGATAATTTTTTTTTTAAATGTGTGTGTTTGTACAGTGTCTTATGAGAAAGTAAGACTTCAACAACAATTTTCGAATTATAGTTAATTTTACTATTATTTATTGATTAGATGGAGTAGAAAAAAACTAAAAATAAGGTTTTTGAAATATTTAGGTTTTGTTTTTTACAATAAAATATATAGGTTACCGTGGAATTTATTGAGAAATTATTATTAAAAAATCACAAAAAATTTTCAACTAGGTTACTTGAAAATTTTTTGTGATTTTTTAATATTAATTTCTCAATAAGTTCCACGGTTTACTATATATATTTTATTGTATAAAACAAAATCTAAATATTTCAAAAACCTTATTTTTAGTTTTTTTTTCTACTCCATCTAATCAATAAATAATAGTATAATTCGAGAATTGTTGTTGAGGACTTACTTTCTCGTGAGGCACTGTACAAATACATTTAAAAAAAAAATTCTCAAAAATTTGCAAGGTAAGGTAAAGTTAAAAGTTCAGTATTAGATAAATAAGGACTTCAACTATTAGAAAAAAATTAATTTTAGTCATAATCTAATAACTTTTTTTTTAACATTTGAGGCGAGAGGTGTGGCGAAAGGACCTCCTTAAATAAAACCGGGTTCCGCTCCATCGTAAAAGTTTATAGCAGAGGCAGAAGTTGGAAAGGCTTTTGCCAGTTGTTCCACTTTATACACATAAGTGACAGGTTTGCGGCGGATCTAACCGAAGTGGACGTGATTCATTGGCGTACAAAATTATTTTATAGATGTTATTAGAGAGTTGAAGTATTTCCAGTACGTTAACGTAAACGTGAACGTGAACGCAGAAAAATAATGTTTACGTTGCTGTACAAAATATGAGTTGAAGTTGTTAAACGCATCGTGACAAAAAATGACACTTATTAACATATTATATTGGGATTTCTACTTTTCCTATTAAAAAGAGGTTATTTTGTTTGCGTAACGTGTATACGCCAGAGCCGTAAGTTTACGTATGTACGTAGACGTAAACGTGAAGGATATTTTCATAGGCATGCGCAGATGTCAAATTTTACGTATACGTTTACGTTTATAACATCACTTCAACTCTCTAATGACAATTTCGAGTAAATAGTTTAATAGCTGTTGATATTCTATGAAATGACACTGGCAGGTAAACATTCTCGAAGCCGTTCGACGTGATTTGACGTTTACCCCCTCTCTACCTACACAAAGTCTTTTCAACATCTGCCCCTGCTATAATACTATGTAGGTACTTTTTAAATACTTTATTAAGATCGAGCAAAAAAGGCAAAAAAAAATGCGTTTATAGTAGGGGAGCTCCCTTTACTTTTTAATTTCTATTTTTATTATTTGTTGTGATAGCGGCAATAGAAATATACATTCTACCTATTACGGATCATGAGATACAGCCCGCTGACAGACAGCGGAGGCTTAGTAATAGGGTCCCGCTGGTTACCCTTCGGACACGGAACCCTAAAAAATGACTGTATTGAGTTTGACGTAGTTATATGACTGTTCATAGAGATTTTATGTTTGAACGTAATTTTAGATTGCCTAATCGAATAAGACATCAAACATGAATACTGACGAAAATATAGTTATATCAGGAATATCAGGACGCTTTCCAGAATGTCACAATATTGAGGAATTCAAAGAAGCTTTATTAAGAGGCGATGATCTAATGACTGCTAATAATGGGCGGTTTCCAGCAGGTAAGAATTATTTACTTAATTACCAGAAACAAAATGAAGATAAATTTTATCAACTTTTAAATATTTATTCATTTTAGTAACTTTTTTATATATTTCTTAAAATGTTAATCAATCGTTTACGTTTTGTAATAATTAAACTACTGTATTACTATTATTAAGTAGTACTTTTTGCATTATTCACATTTAACAACTTTAATTCTTGCATACTTACAGGCTAGACGATGTAGGTTGTATAATAGTCATAAAACTTTTTAAAAAAGAAAATAATTCCAACTCAAATGTGATCAAAACGTAAAATAAATCGCGACGCCATATATGTCACATAAAATACAAGCGACCGTTTTTCTTTGAAAACAACTTCTCTCTTGGCTAATACCTCAACAGGCATTGAATTATATCCTAAGGAATAACAGCAGATAATGAAATTTAATTTAAATGCTCTACCTTTGATTTCGCTTAATAAGGAGAACGTCATTCTTGGACCGCCAAAAAGAACGTATTATAAATTTTAATAAGATTGAATGTTAGAGTAATAAATTTAAACAAAAACGAATTTCAATTGTTAATTCTTTCTTCTTAATTTCCTTTGTAGAAATGCAATAGGGCATTTATTTTGTAAATACTAGTAGTACCTCGAGTAGTTAATATAAATTAATATAAATATTAATTACTTTCTGATCAACATAGATTCTATGGAGTCTACTACAAAAGACAAAAAATGACAAGGTACTCTAAACAACGATTAAAGGATATCCACAATAGATTTGAAAAGTAGAGGTGAGGGATGTCACATGGCCCACAATCCTAATGAAATCTAAGGGCTTGTTTGCACTGGGCGACCAGGTCGCAACGGCTTGGTTGCCTCAACCACTAAAACCATGCATGTTAATTGTACATAACGTACTTCGAGCATGCTACTGATGGCTAACGAAAACCTGCACTCACATAATTTGATTTTCTCTTACTATACGGAGAATGGTCGCCATGCGCAGCTTTCTGAGTGCCTTTTAAAAGGGGATAGAAAACTCGGCCATTTTGATGCTTTATTACGTGTTGCCTACATGTTGGCGCAATATTTTTAATATATTCGTTTAAATCATCCGCTTCTGCTTCGGAATTGTCGGTTTTCTTGTTTTAATCTGACAGGTAAAAACGGCTTAACCGACAATTCCGGAAGCAGAAGCGGATGATTAAAACGCACCCGATATTTTGCTTGCTGCTGTCATTGCCCGTAAATATTATTTTTGGAGTCACAGTTTACTGCTAAAGAATCACTCGGACCAGTTGAAAGTTTCAAAATAACATCCACTCCAGGGATACAAATTCAGGATGCGCAGAAGACTGCTGTTTTATTATAGGCGGTTGTCACATATTGTATTATCCGAGTTGCGCAGTGCATAAACTGAAACATTGCAAGGAAAGGGGCTCAAACACCCTTTGTAGGACCTGAGCCGTTCTGCGGTATCAGCAGTAACATAATATTAGGAGAGATTAAAAAAGAATTGGGCAATAGAAGAACCGATAATTGGAACAATCTCTTGGGGCTGAGACAGGCCAAGATACTTCTGGGTGAATATAAACAAAAAAGATCGGAAGCCTGCATCTGCCTGCTCAAGAACAGGCTACGTATTGTAACAGGGATCCTTACCGGACATTGCCGACTAAAAGGACACCTAAGTAAACTGAGAGTAGTAGAGGATAGTGAGTGCAGATTCTGTGAGGAGAAGGACGAAACTCCATTCACATCCTAACTAAATATGTAGCACTCCAGAATCTAAGGGCACTATATCTCGGAGGATATCAAATAGAAGAGGGAGATTTACCTAACTTGAAGCCTCTTCAAATCCTACACTTCCTTGAAAAAATAGGATTGGAAGGGTCGCTATAGGCATTGAGATATTTGCTTAGTGCAGTGGCGACATAAGGGGGCACAATAGATCTTTTAGGTCGCAGTCTATTAACACCCCATTCTCAACATAACATACGTCCTTTTAATTTTTTTAAATTTTTAATTCGTGTTTTTACTTTCGAGTTGTGGGAATGAAATCCTTAATTTCGTAGGGATAATTGGGTTATACATTTCCAGATGCTTCCATCCGAAGCTATATTAGCTATTTGTTTAAGATATATGGCAATAAGATGATCACAAAACAAGGGCAATTCAAAACCACTGCTTATTCAATACATTTTGACTGGTAGTATTTTTTGTTTTTGTTTTATATTCACATTTCTTACTACACATGCAAAGGTCAAATTTGAGGGCTCCTTCCACCCGCTGCACATACTCGCACTCGCACGTAGCTGGCGCCAATAAGGCACTGGCAAAGTGTTATAGTTTCAAACTGTGAATACTTTTTCAAACGTATGGTATTTACAACAACACCGCAGTTACTCTCACGTGTTGGCACATAAATGTACATGAACGTGTACGTACAGGTCAACCGATGCGACACTTGCGGTTGAGCCACAGTTTTCGAGTGGCAGTGAAGACGAGTGGTAGATTTGTTTGTTATTGAGCCGCAAAAATTTTAATCCATTGCAAATAGACAAACTGTATTAGAAAAAGTTTTAGCGAAACTACGTCAGCAAATGCGGATCAAGCAAGTGTTCACTTTGCCAGTGCCACATTACGGTCGTTTGATTTGAAATTAGATCAAGCGAGCATCCAGGAGACCGAGAAATGACGACGTCACAATAGAGCACTAAATCAAATCAAATAAAACAGAGTAAACAAACATAACTTCACTGTTTTTGTGATTCCTGTTTTTAGTTTGTGTCAAAACTGTGAAGACCAGTCTTCATATTCAAAAGGGACAATAAGGGGCAATGGCCATGAATTGCAGCATATACCACAAATGCCCGCTTCTTTTCAAACTCCACGACTGTGATTACTGATGATTAGATCTGGGAAAAAAAATGTATTTTCCAAACACATTTTATTTTTTTTATGATGAATAATTTTAGCTATATTACAAAAGCGGCTAAGTAATTTGTTGACTTCTTGTCTGGTTTGTAGTTTAATTAAGAAGAGATTGATAGAGACAAAGACAAATTTCTCCCTCTTTTGGGATTGCTCGGAGTGTCAATTTAAACACGTTTGCAGCGCTCGGAGATCTCCGATAATCAAATCAAATGCACCAATTAGCGTCATCAGTTACGTGAACGAGTGCAAATTCGAGCATGTGCAGCGGGAGTGAGATTTGAGGCAAAATGATCTCTTCGAAAAAGTGAACCCAAATGAGTTCTCCGCAATTCTATTCATTTCTGCCGATATTTTTTTGTTCGAATAAGTACAAATTTTGATTAATTTTAAAATTATTTATGTATTTATTTTCTGAAAAAAAAAACCTACATATGTTTGTCTATTTTTTGGAAAAGTAAATATAATTTTGAGGTCCTTTTTTATGTTCTGTAACTAAATATTAAAAGACCATAATCCTTTTTATTTGTTCGAGATAATATTACTACAAGATTAACAATAAATAATTCAAATTATACTTGTTGGTTGATTTATCTACAATTATGCTTAAATCGCTGTAAATATCTTGTTGGTTATTATTTATTATTTGAGTAGGACATTTGGTAGAGTAACTTGGTCAGTTTTATGTTCTGATAATGATAAGAGGGTTGCCTAAAAAGTTTCCGACATCAACTTGAAGATACTCGTCAACAAAAGTTGGAAAATTTGTTTGCATCATGCTATGAACGGTACCTGTTCACCAAAATTTCAGCCGTTTTGGACGTGCAGTTCTTATTTGACAGTTGAATAATTTGAACGAGTGTTTGTGGAAATGGAACAATGTAGTATCAAAATATCATTAATTATTGGTTTTTGAAAGGTAATACGCTTAAGCAAATTAAAGACGAGTTAGAAGCTGTATACCATTATTTACCGCCAATATATTTTGGCCAGCTGAATCTAAACCACAATACAATCGTTCCAATTTACCAAATTTTACTAGAACCGTTGAATTAATGTTAGAGAGATAGCAGAGCATATGAACATGTTTGTGTTGTATTGAATCAAGATTTAAACATAAGAAAGCTGCTACGCTTTGGGTGCCAAGTTTTCTCACACCGGCCCAAAAACATTTTCAACGCTGTGTTGGTACAGTCTAGGTACAATAAATAAGAGTTTTATAGATCAAACTGATACACCATTATATTCCAGAAATACAAAAACGGTCAAAACAGTCGACTGTGAAGGAGGAATTGGCCGGGAAAGTGATGGTGACTCTTTTTTAGGATGGTCAGAAAGTTATCTTAATCAATTATCTTAAAATTGATTAACCATTACAGGGGCATCATTATTTAAAAACTAAATACAGAAACTGGAAAAAAAAATATTGTACCCAGGAAAAGCTCCGTCTCGTAACTCAGCGGTTGCGTTGTCAAAAATTTGAAATTGTGGTTTGAACTACTTGACTACGCACCTTACCCACCAAATCTGACCAAAATATGCCCTCGGAGGACAGATATCTTTATCGTAAGCAACTATTTTGCAGTTCTATTTAGACGAGTTGCAGAGATGAAAACATCGCTAGGTAAAATGAATAGACCAAAGAGACTATTTAAAAAAAACACGGGTTGCACTCCGGGAGTGCCGGCAGAAGTGAAAACTTGAATATTAACGTTGTGCATTTTTAATTTTTTGGAATAGTTAGGGAATAATTTTGAACGAATTGCTTTTATTATCAATATAAAAGTACTATCATTTATGTGGTAGAATACAATATTTATTGCGCTATCATACACACACATTACAATTTATGTTACATTAAATTACATTGTATTACATTAAAAAGTTTATCTCAGAAAAATCAATCAATCAATGTTGAAATCTCCACTCAAAATCATTGGCAATTCATCAAAGCGTTTTCCATTTTTTTTTTTTTGAAGCAACGCGGATACGTCATGAGAATAAATAAATAAATTGTCGTACAAGAAGTCTCGTATAAAAAATTTTTGAAATTGAAATTTATTGCACGTTTATTGGCTGTTTTTTTTTATTTGGTGTCATCGGCATCGACTGCTAAGGTCATTAGCCTCGTGTTCTGTGTAGGCTTTGTTTTATAAAAAAAGATTTTTAAAAAATCGATTTTTTTAATTAATCGAAACCCTTACAATTGATTAAAAAATATCAACAATCGAAAAAAAACAATCGATTGTTCGATTAATCGATTTCGATGTTACAATACTACCTACTCTCCGAATTTTCGATCAGCCCACGTGTCCTGACGCGAGTTTCACAGTTTTTACCCATCCCACAAAAGTGCTCAACGCCGCTAAAGAAGTTTTCACTTCAAAAATAACTTACATATTTTATATCTTCCTCAATGTCTATTATTATTCCAATTTATTCCAATTTATTCCAATTTATTCCAATTTATTCCAATTTATTCCAATTTATTCCAATTTATTCCAATTTATTCCAATTTATTCCAATTTATTCCAATTTATTCCAATTTATTCCAATTTATTCCAATTTATTCCAATTTATTCCAATTTATTCCAATTTATTCCAATTTATTCCAATTAATTCCAATTAATTCCAATTTATTCCAATTTATTCCCATTTATTCCAATTTATTCCAATTTATTCCAATTTATTCCAATTTATTCCAATTTATTCCAATTTATTCCAATTTATTCCAATTTATTCCAATTTATTCCAATTTATTCCAATTTATTCCAATTTATTCCAATTTATTCCAATTTATTCCAATTTATTCCAATTTATTCCAATTTATTCAATTTATTCCAATTTATTCCAATTTATTCCAATTTATTCCAATTTATTCCAATTTATTCCAATTTATTCCAATTTATTCCAATTTATTCCAATTTATTCCAATTTATTCCAATTTATTCCAATTTATTCCAATTTATTCCAATTTATTCCAATTTATTCCAATTTATTCAATTTATTCCATTTATTCCAATTTATTCCAATTTATTCCAATTTATTCCAATTTATTCCAATTTATTCCAATTTATTCCAATTTATTCCAATTTATTCCAATTTATTCCAATTTATTCCAATTTATTCCAATTTATTCAAATTTATTCAAATTTATTCCAATTTATTCCAATTTATTCCAATTTATTCCAATTTATTCCAATTTATTCCAATTTATTCCATTTATTCCAATTTATTCCAATTTATTCCAATTTATTCCAATTTATTCCAATTTATTCCAATTTATTCCAATTTATTCCAATTTATTCCAATTTATTCCAATTTATTCCAATTTATTCCAATTTATTCCAATTTATTCCAATTTATTCCAATTTATTCCAATTTATTCCAATTTATTCCAATTTATTCCAATTTATTCCAATTTATTCCAATTATTCCAATTTATTCATTTATTCCAATTTATTCCAATTTATTCAATTTATTCCAATTTATTCCAATTTATTCCAATTTATTCCAATTTATTCCAATTTATTCCAATTTATTCCAATTTATTCCAATTTATTCCAATTTATTCCAATTTATTCCAATTTATTCCAATTTATTCCAATTTATTCCAATTTATTCCAATTTATTCCAATTTATTCCAATTTATTCCAATTATTCCAATTTATTCCAATTTATTCCAATTTATTCCAATTTATTCCAATTTATTCCAATTTATTCCAATTTATTCCAATTTATTCCAATTTATTCCAATTTATTCCAATTTATTCCAATTTATTCCAATTTATTCCAATTTATTCCAATTTATTCCAATTTATTCCAATTTATTCCAATTTATTCCAATTTATTCAATTCCAATTTATTCCAATTTATTCAATTTATTCCAATTTATTCAATTTATTCCAATTTATTCCAATTTATTCAATTTATTCCATTTATTCCAATTTATTCCAATTTATTCCAATTTATTCCAATTTATTCCAATTTATTCCAATTTATTCAATTTATTCCAATTTATTCCAATTTATTCCAATTTATTCCAATTTATTCCAATTTATTCCAATTTATTCCAATTTATTCCAATTATTCCAATTTATTCCAATTTATTCCAATTTATTCCAATTTATTCCAATTTATTCCAATTTATTCCAATTTATTCCAATTTATTCCAATTTATTCCAATTTATTCCAATTTATTCCAATTTATTCCAATTTATTCCAATTTATTCCAATTTATTCCAATTTATTCCAATTTATTCCAATTTATTCCAATTTATTCCAATTTATTCCAATTTATTCCAATTTATTCAATTTATTCCAATTTATTCCAATTTATTCCAATTTATTCCAATTTATTCCAATTTATTCCAATTTATTCCAATTTATTCCAATTTATTCCAATTTATTCCAATTTATTCCAATTTATTCCAATTTATTCCAATTTATTCCAATTTATTCCAATTTATTCCAATTTATTCCAATTTATTCCAATTTATTCCAATTTATTCCAATTTATTCCAATTTATTCCAATTTATTCCAATTTATTCCAATTTATTCAATTTATTCCAATTTATTCCAATTTATTCCAATTTATTCCAATTTATTCCAATTTATTCCAATTTATTCCAATTTATTCCAATTTATTCCAATTTATTCCAATTTATTCCAATTTATTCCAATTTATTCCAATTTATTCCAATTTATTCCAATTTATTCCAATTTATTCCAATTTATTCCAATTTATTCCAATTTATTCCAATTTATTCCAATTTATTCCAATTTATTCCAATTTATTCCAATTTATTCCAATTTATTCCAATTTATTCCAATTTATTCCAATTTATTCCAATTTATTCCAATTTATTCCAATTTATTCCAATTTATTCCAATTTATTCCAATTTATTCCAATTTATTCCAATTTATTCCAATTTAAAAAATATCGACAATCGAAAGAAAACAATCGATTGTTCGATTAATCGATTTCGATGTTACAACACTACTCTCCAACCGTCTTACGAATTTTTGATCAGCCTACGTGTCCTGACGCGAGTTTCACAGTTTTTACCCATCCCACGAAAGTGCTCAACGCCGCTAAAGAAGTTTTCACTTCAAAAATAAAACTTAATTTGATGAAAACATTTTTTGTTTCCTTGTTAGGTTGGAAACTGTTTAGGCAGTCCTCTACTTCTGCAGTACTCAATTAAAATCCATAACTATTTAAATTTATCCAGTTAGTATTAACTAGAAGTCTGTAAATTTCAAATTAAATTAGTTCCATTTACAAAAATAGAAAAATGGGTGTTATGAATTTGTTATTGTAGAAAACGTAATAATTCATCCATAAATATTATGATAATTTTTTAGCAATTTCGAATTTTTTAGATTTCTGATAAAAACTCTCTCCTATTTTGAACACCCAACATAGTAATAAAGAAATACGTGTTTCTTTTTTACCAACTATTTAGCTATTTTCATGTCTATGGCAAACGACGAACGTTGATTATGACATACTGTGTTTTAAAAGGTACTCGAACATATTCAACTAAAAAATTCACCAACCCGTTTTACTCTGTTTCTAGGATTCAAAGGCTTACCAAAACGACAAGGAAAAGTACCTGATATAGACAAATTTGATGCCACCTTTTTTGGATTTCACTCGAAGCAGGCTCACTTTACAGATCCAAGACAAAGGATTCTTCTTGAAACAGCTTATGAAGCTATCATAGATGCTGGTTATAATCCAAGTGAATTAAGAGGAAGCAAAACAGGTGGGTCAAGAAAATGTAAAATAATTCTTTATAAAACAACTAGATAAAAAAATTATTATGATACTCTATCATCTTCTTTATGCCAAATGAATACCCTGCATGAAAAATTATCTTATTGAGATCATATTAGTCCAGTAACTGAAGGGCCAAACCTGTAGAAAATTTGCGCAATTTGTAGGTCATCGCAGGTGTTTTTAAATAAAAAAATCCGTAACGCGTTCTTGGTACCGGAAGAGGTTGAAAATGGACCCCTAAAACCTGTAAAATGGGTTTCCCGCTAATATCTGACTGAATATGCCAATTAGAGAATTTTTGTTTAAACAAACAATGAAGATCGGCTCATTCTCTCCAAAAATGGCTCCTATAATTTTTTCGAAAATTCAATAGTTTTCGAGATAATGGCACTCAAAAGTCCCCTCATTTCAGCTGCTGCTCTACCTGCAGGAATTCCGCTTTCTATGAATTAACGTGTAAGCGGGCGGACGAATTGTTCCATATCTCGGGAAAAAATTGATATTTTTCGATGGTTCAAAGTTCATCGCAATGGGAAAACCCGTAGCTACAATTCCATGTGACTTGAAGTCAATTTGTATTTGCCAAAAATATTTTAAAAAGCGGTCAAAGTTTTTTTTCAACAATATTTAGAGACTGCTTCATTAATTAATTCATATTTTCTTTAAAAATAGTCATTTATTCTAATTCTGCCTTTATAATGGGACCTTGGGGGGTCTTGAATGATCTTAGAAATTTTTTTGTAATACTTTTATTGCGTTTTATTACAAAATTGATTTGTTTATTTACATGTTTTAGCCGATTCGGAGTTCCATAGAATCTTCGCAACAAGCGCGAATTATAATCTTATGATCCGTTATATTGATTTCCAGTGCACAACATTTTAAAGCTTAGATGATCTACTTTTCGAATATATTTTTTATTTTTGTTGTTACAATTATATATTTAATTTTTACGCTCCCCCTCTGAGATCCATGATATTGTATGCAGTGAGCATCATAAGTCTTACCCCCCCTAACTAACTCGTTACTGGGGTCTTAATAGGAAAATCGCCGAGACGGGTCGATTTTTAATTTCTACAATGTACATTTTTGCATGATTAGTTTACCCTTAATTTCATCTCTTAGTGGAGGGGAGCAACCCTTTCGAAAAATTTAAATGGCATGGGGTGGTGAGTGATAGCTCATTTGAAAGAGGGTTTTATTCTCTATTCAACCGTGTAAAAAAATTTTAAAATTTGCTTCATTACGTGTTGATTTATTAATATTTAAAAATAACAAAACCTCACAAAGTAGGAAAGCAACTAGACTAACAGTGACCTTCTAATGGCAAAAAGTCTTACTTCACGTCTGAACCAAAACCGAAATCATGCAGGGCCGAATTTTAATTCTAAGGATGAGTGCCCTACGTTAATTTCCATTATTCTGAAACAACAATTAGTCGAGAATTAATGAAGCAAATTTAAAATTATTTTACACGGTTGAATAGAGAATGAAACCCTCTTTCAAATGAGCTATCACTCACCACCCCATGCCATTTAAATTTTTCGAAAGGGATGCTCCCCTCCAGTAAGGGATGAAATTAAGGGTAAACTATTCATACAAAAATGTACATTGTAGAAATCGACGTGTCTCGGCGATTTTCCTAACAAGACTCCAGTAACGAGTTAGATAGGGGGGCTAAGACTTAAGGTGCTCACTGTATAACCTTACCTCGTGTACCCACGCGGCAATAGTTGTCTGCATGTGTTTGTATACAATCTCTGTTTTGGAAACGCCAGCTTGACCGGATTATTGATGTTCTGATGATATTTTTTCATTATTTATTTTGAATTATTTATTTAAAATAAAATAAATATTTTTCGTTAAATTAATTCAGTTATAAAAAAAAGAAGAAGTGTTTAAAGTGAGAAATTTCCACGTTATTCTTGTCTACAAGAAAGAATATTCAAGGATTTTTTTGTTGGTAGCAGAAAATAAGCTTTGTATTATTTTGCCTCAACTTTAAAAACTTGGTGTAATTGTTCTAATGGTTGGATCATCTATTTTTTTGGCTCTTGGTGTTGTTGAAATGGAAGCTGATTCTGTTCCAGAATGCTTTCTTTGTAAGGATAGTGTTGTGGATGACGGTGTAAATGTTACTAGTGGTTTAGAAAATTTGATTCGAGTGAGCAAGGAGAGATGCGATAATTTCCACCTATTTCTCCAGAAACAATCCTCTGTACGCTCAACCACATGAACTCAAAATGGCCATTGATCTTTTAAAAATCAGAACCTTCCTCGAGAGACTATATTGGCGAACGAAGAAACTGTTTTGCTGTCGATTTACAAATTGCCAGCGGAAATAAAGACTCTCCAGGCCGCCCGGTCCTGGACTTTCAACCACTTGTCCACAAACAAAACTGCAATAAAACTAGAATGCTTGCCCCCTACCGCTGAAGCTGCTAGGTAGCACTTTTATAGGGTATATTTACAAGTACAGAATTGGCTGGGGAATGAACTGTTACCAGAGGAATGGTGCTGGAAACGTGCAGGGGAAATGCTATTACCGGTCCAGACCACACAGGATCCGACCCCAACGGAACTCTTGAAGATGATTTTTGTCAGTGTAAGAGAGGCTGCGAGAAGAATTGTTCATGTTTGAAAGCAGGTCTGAAATGCTCGTCCATCTGTGGTTCGTGTCAGTTGACACAATGTTCAAACTATAAAAGAAATGAAGGTATATTCCCGGAAGAATTAGATGTGGAAGTAGAAATAGAGGTGGAAGAAGAGACAGAAGGGTTGTAAAGCGAGGAGGTAGAAATACAGCTGGAGCAAGAGAGAGAAAGGACGACAGGGGGAAGGGTAGAAATGGAGCAAGAGGGAGTAGGCGACGATAATACCGTTGACGATGAAGAATATGTATATGATTCTGATGACTTGGAGTGGTTGACTACACCCTAAAGGTTGTTATGTATGTTTTATATCCAACCAATTCTTCCAAATAAATGTAATTTTTCAAAGACTTGTGTATTTTTTCTGAAATCCTGCACTCATATTATTCCGAAAAAAGTTTGCAAAAAAATCGCAAAAATGCGAAAAATGTTTAGAATGGTTGTATGGTGAATATTCACCACGCTCTAAAAGTTGTCATTTGCTTTCAGCCAAAACAACGTGATTCAAGATCTTGGCACAAGGAAAAATAAATTTAGCGAGAAGAGCAAAGGTGCTGGAGCTATCTGCAATTGGTCTCTAAAGTCCAAAAGGTGAATATCAATGCATTTGCAACCATATCGAGCGGAAATTCGGCAAGAAACTACCATATCTATTCAATATGAAAATTATGGATTTCGAAGTCTGATTTTGCAGAAAATATTGGCATTGCGAAAAAATTGATAGGGATCATTTTTGTAGACAATGAGCTGATCTTCATTTTTTGTATAAACCAAAATTCTCTAATTGGCATATTTAGCCAGATATTAGCGGGAAACCCGTTGTTCAGAGTTTAGGGATCCATTTTCAGCCCCTTCCGGTACCAAGAACGCGTTAAGGATTTATTCATTTAAAAACGCCTGCGTTGACCTACAAATTGAGCTACGTGGGAACTCATCAGCGATTTTTTACAGCTTTCGATCTTTTCAGTTATTCATTTACTGGACTATATGAACTCTTCGTAGTATCTGAATAAAATCAAGCAATATAGAAAAATTACACATTTATTCTTTATTTCCTTAACGTTAATAAAAATATTAAATATTCTAGGCGTCTTCATTGGATTATCACTTTTTACTAACTTTACTGAATTAATTGAGGAGGATAACTATGGGTATTCAATCCTAGGAGCAAGTCACGTTAGCGCAGCTAACAGAATATCTTATTGTTTCGATTTCAATGGACCAAGTTACGCTCTGGATACAGGATGCTCTAGCTCTTTGTATGCTTTTACACAAGCGGTGGATCTCCTTAAAAAAGGAGAAATAACATATGCTATTGTGGGTGGTACACAGTTAGGTCTCCATCCTCAAGAAAGCCTGCAATTCCACAAGTTGAATATGCTTTCTCCTGAGGGAAAGTGTAAAGTTTTTAACAAGGAAAGGAACGGCTTTGCGAGATCAGAGGCTATTTGCTGCTACTTTTTACAAAAAAGTAAATATAGTAGAAGAAGGTATGCTGAAGTATTGGGAGCTAAAGTTAATACTAATGGATATGTTAAAGAAGGATATACTGTACCGTATGCGAAAATGCAGCTTAAGCTTATGCAAGAGTTATATCAAGAAAGTAATGTTGACATTGAAGATGTAGCTTACGTCGAAATGCACGGAACAGGTAAGATAATATTATATCAGTTAAACTAGTTAAAAATAATTACAATACGTTATATTAGTAGTAAACTATAAGAAGAATGCTTCTAAACATAATTTACAGGTAGCAGAATAGGTGACATAATCGAATGTCAGTCAATAGTCGACATGTTTTGTCAAAACAGAAAGAAATCATTATTAGTTGGCAGCGTTAAATCAAACATGGGTCATGGTGAAACAGTTTCGGGTTTAGCCGCTATTACTAAGGTATTATTAGCAATGGAAACTGGAATTATACCTGGTAATTTACACTTTCATCCAATTGATAAAAGCTTACCAGGCATCGGAGATAAAAAATTACAGGTACTTATATTTTGTTCTTTTGCTTAAAATAAATTAATCTGATATTTATATATAAAGGGTTGGTAATTTAAAAACCTAAATGGCCACGATATACTTACAAAGGTATGTTCTTGCGTATGCTAGCTTTGTCTTTTTACAAATTGTCTCTGAAAATACGTAGTGGCGTATCTCATATTTTCTGGTTTTTCAGTAGAGGCATTTGAAATTTTAGAGTCTTTTAGAGTGATAAGTAGAGCAACTGTTATAATTCTTTCTTTATAGATAAATACTGCAGGCTTAGTCAATGGATGTGAGCTAATTATTTTACGGCTACTCAGCTTAGGTTTATGGAAAAAAAATATTTTGAATGAGATACGTTACTTTGTGATTTTTTTGACTCCAAGGTTCCACTGACTACGCCCTCTGATTGATTACAAATTAAGTAATAAAAATATGCGGATTCGAAAAAAAAAACATATATGAAAACAACGTTAAATTCGTAAAAACAAAGTAACAATAAAGAAATAATGTAACCAAAAATAATTCAATCATTATCATAATAAGGAAATGAATGGCTCATAAATATTATCGTGTTCCACTACTTTAATCACTGGGGTTCTTCCCTAAGTTAGGACGATTAGGTCCATATACTTTTCCTTGGTTATCTTGTTTGGTTTAAGATTTAAACAACAAATGTTGGATAGTCTCTAAATTTAGTCATAAAAGAAACTGGAATAGGAGTGTTTGGGCCTAGAACCAGGCACTCTGAAAGTTTGGGTAAATACCCAATCATCTTTCAGGTTGAAATTCACGTCATTAAAAAGTGTATCCAGTTCAACATCCAACATGTCTGATAGCCAATCAGCCATCAAAGCGTCTAGCTCTTAGGGATTCAGCTTGCTCAAAAAAATCTGAAGATACTCAGAAAACTGAATGAACTAGACTAAGAAAATACAGCTACTCTTATTTTAGTCCTGGGACATAACACGGTAAACGATAACGAGATTGCAGATAGTCTTACAAGGAAAGGGGCCTAAACACTTCTTGTGGGACCTGAGCCGTTCTGCCGTATCACCAGTAACATAATATTAGTAGGAACTGGACAGTAGACGAACCAATAATTGAAACAATCTGTTAAGGCTAGACAGGCTAAGAAATTTCTGGGTGAATATAAACAGAAAAAATCGGAAGACTGTATCTGCCTGTGCAAGAATAGGTTACATATTCTGACGAGGAAGGCAAGCCTCCTTTCACATTCTGACCAAATTTATAGCACTCAATAATTAAGGAATACTCTGCTTAGGAGGACATCAAATAGAAGCAATAAAAGAGGGCGATGTGCTTAACTCGAAGCCACTTTAAATTCTACGCTTCCTTAAGAAGATAGGATGGGAAGAATCACTATAAGTTACTTCCTCGATGTACTAGCGACAGAAGGAGGTACAACAGATCTTTTAAGTGAAAGTACATTAATACCTCATACTCAAGATAATATGACATCATTATGAGGAAGTGACTTATAAAAATAATTCTTCTGTTTCACTACTTTGACATATCATAAATAAATAATGACGTAATTCAAACTTTTCGGATTTTCACATTATAAAATGTTGTAGCCATCAAAGTGCATTCTGGCAACTGTTGGTTCGGGTAAAAATCGTACAGTATAATTATTTTTAAACGAAATATCAATATTCAGATTTTCTGACCGAACAAATTTATTTTTCTTTTCCTAACAAACTCTTTTAAATTGCTTTTGCTTTGCTATTTTTCAGACTCCAATAGTAGCTCATTCAATAAATTTGTATACGACAGCACACTGCGTTAAAGCAACTAGCCTTCAGTTCATTGACTACGAGATTTTCTTTTTTTGCAATATTGTTATGTGAGCCATTTCATTATTCAGTCATGCTCTAACACTACAAGTCCCTCTCTGTCTTATTTGGCCTTTGAGGCTCAACTTGTCCGATTATTGTACATAATTAAACCCCTTAAGACCAAACCTATGGGACGACTATGGTGGAGATACTTTCGCGAACATTCCAGGATCAACGAGATACTATTTGTAGAACGTGATAACGTTTCTGGTACATACTGGCAATTTTAGTGGGGGAGCATTCTAGATCACCAATTTGTATATAAATTGGTGGAGGAGAGCTATCAAAATCAGTTGATATATGGACAGTGAAGATAAATAGTAATTAGTAGATAGACAGTGGTGAATATAAATAGTAAGCGATTCAAAGACATTCGAAGTATATATAAATTAAAATAGTATTGTTTAAAATAAATAAGTGTTTAAATAAATTATTAATAAATAAACTGTTGTTTGAAAATAAACAATCATCACATTGGTGTCGAGAAGTGGAATAGTGTAAATAAATAGTGGACAATAATGGCTAAAAGACTGTATGATTTAAAAGTGACCGAGCTACGTCGGGAGTTAGAAGATCGTGAGTTAGAGACGACAGGGAAGAAAGCAGAGCTGGCAGAACGTCTTAAGGAAGCACTGGAAAGTGAAGGTTTGGATCCGGAAACTTATCTATTTTCCGATGATGCGTTTTCTATAATTTCTTCTTTGGAAAGTAAAATGACTTCCATGAAAACCGATATTTCTTCTAATATTTCCTCATTGGAAAATAAAGTTTCTTTCATGGAAAATAAAGTTTCTTAAGACATTACTTCCTTAGAAAGTAAAGTTTCATCCGATATTTCTTCCCTAGAAGAAAAGGTATCTTCTGATATGTCTTCCGTGAAAAACCAAATCTCTTCTTTAGAAACTAAAGTTTCTTCTGATATCTCTTCTTTAAAAGATGAAATTTCTGCCGACTTGGAAAACAAAATGTCTTCTCTGAAATGTGAAATTTCTGCTGATGTGGAAAATAAGATGACTTCCATTGAAGAGAAAATAAAAGAAATGGAAAAGAAGATAGAAGAACTCGAACATACAGAACCGGCCAAGGACGGTGAAGCAAAGTGCCATGGGGTAGAGTCGAAGTTGAAATTGGAAGGAGCTGTAAACTCTCCTCGTGTTAAACCCCCAACTTTTGACGAGAAGATGTCATGGACGAACTACCTTAAGCAGTTTGAAACAGCTGCCAGAGCAAACGAGTGGTCTGAACGAGAGAAGGCAATAAATTTGACCATCGCTCTTCGAGGAGACGCTTTGGATGTCCTTCAGACTATACCCGTGGAAGAAACAGATGATTTTGAACAACTCAAAAAGAGACCAAATATGCGATATGGCCACGAACACTTGGAGCATTTGTACCAGTCACAGTTGAAGAATCGTAAACAAAAACGAGCCGAGACTCTTCAGGAATATAAAGTAGATATTGCCAGGTTGGTGCGATTTGCTTATCCATTAGCTCCGGAAAACATGATGGAATGTTTGGCAGTTCAAACTTTTGTTAATGGACTTCGTGAACACGAGATGCAAAGAACACTGCGTCTAGCCCGTCACAAAACATTGGTCGATGTCTTGTCCGCTGCTCTTGAATATGAGGCAGCTACACAGGCCTCTGGTGGATACAGTAAAGTGAGGACCATAAAAGAGGAAGAAGAGGAAGGTAAACTCGACCAACTGGTGAACATGATGAAGAGCCTTTCTGACAGAAAGATAAAGACGAAAACTATCAGGTGCTGGAAATGCGGTGAACTGGGACATGTACGCAGTTCGTGCAAATGCCCTAGGGTCCCAACAAATCAAGACAACACGCCGCAGGAAAACTAGAGCGGGTCGGCCTAGAGGGTTCAGCTTCGACCCGAAACCGTTCCAAAGACCTCTCATACTAATAGCCTCTTTGAAATGTCGCGATGATAGTGTATACGTAGACGGCGAAGTAAATGGCAAAAAGTATACACTGTTGGTGGATACTGGAGCAACTAGGACTATTATACGATGAACAACTATAAATACCCGTAAGAAACTTCTACCAACAAGATTGCGATTACGGACTGCCACAGGTGAAAGTGCCAACATCCATGGGGAAATCCAGGTTCAATTGGGAATTGGTACAGAAAAGTTCACTCATACTGTTATTGTCCCTGATATCGAAGAAGATGTTATTCTTGGAATGGATGTAATGAACTTACATGGTTTCCAGTTGGACTTTAAAAACAGAGTGAGCAAAGTTGGTGCCGAAGAGGTATTCCTACATCCATATGGGGACAGTACCGTGCCAGTTGCTGTACAGGTGGATACGGTGGTTCCCGGTAGAAGTGAAACCGTTATAATAGCACGGCTTCAAGAAACTATGGAAGAAGGAACACCCATAATGATGGAACCTTGGAACCACGATGAAGAAGTTGGACGAGGCATTCTGATCGGAAAGGGATTGGTCACGGCGGCAAAAGAAATTCCAGTTCGTCTCATAAACGTTAATGATCACCCGATTACCATCAAGAAAGAGACCAGAATCGGAACTTGTGTACCAGTAACGTCCATAATTCGTCAGACAACAACTTTTGATAATTCCAACGACAAATTCGAGCAAATGATTGCAGTTGCTGGTCAATCTCTAAATCAATCAGAGAAGAAGAAAATAAAGGAATTTTTTCGAAGATATCGTGACATTTTTGTACCAAAAGGAGGAAAAACAGAAAGAACTTCTGTTGTAAAACACAAAATTGACACTGGTGACGCCAGGCCAATTCGTCAATCGGCTCGAAGATTACCAAAGGCAAAGAGAGAGGAAGCTGAAAGGATTGTTTAGGAAATGAAGGAAGACAGGGTAATAGAACCTTTTACCAGCCCATGGGTCTCTCCGGTAGTCCTGGTCCAGCAAAAGAATGGAACTACGAGGTTCTGTGTGGATTACCGTCAGTTGAACAATGTTACCAAGAAAGACAGTTACCCTCTGCCTCGTATCGACGATACCTTGGACACATTGGCCGGAAGTAAATTATTTTCTACCTTAGACCTAAAGTCTGGATATTGGCAGGTCGAAATGGACCCAGTAGACAAATAAAAGACAGCTTTTACCACCGGATCTGGATTGTGGCAATTTAATGTCATACCATTTGGACTATGTAATGCCCCCGCGACATTTGAAAGACTTATGGAAAATTAACTGAGAGGGTTATCTTGGAAAACGTGCCTGGTATATTTAGATGACATTATAGTCTTGGGGAAAACATTTGATGAACATATAAAGAACTTGGAAGATGTTTTTAAAAGACTTCAAGCTGCCCAACTGATGCTTAACCCCAAGAAATGCCAGCTATTCCAAAATAAAGTCAATTACCTGGGTCATGTAGTCAGTAAGGATGGCGTGGCTGTAGATAAAGAAAAAGTCGTTTCTATCAAAGAGTGGCCACAACCAAAGGACAAATACCAAATAAGAAGTTTTCTTGGGCTTTGTACGTACTACCGAAGATTTATAAAGAAGTTTGCAGATATTGCTAAACCACTAACGCGACTCACAGAAGAAGCAAGAAAATTCTGCTGGGACGAAGACTGCCAAACTGCCTTCGAAACTTTAAAGAAGCATTTAACAACAGCGCCAATATTAGGCTATCCACTACCAGAAGGAGAATTTATCCTGGATACTGATGTACAGAAACTAGCTATGCCAAAGATAGAGAGCAACCAGCTGAATTGCAGGCTCATTAGAAACATGGTGGAAGTAATTTTTCAAGATACCCAGGTTGAAATACTGGTCTGCAGCCATTCTCCTAGCGTTTAGATTATAACGAAGACTGTGATTTGTTACGTCCATGCAACTGGAAATTGTAAAAGAGGATCCAGTTGCAAATTCAACCATTCAGTTTTAGGTCCAGGAGGAACTATTTCTTAAGGAGGGGGCAATGTCATCAAATTCCTAAGCCGACCCTGTCTAAAGTAGCTTGGCACCCGACTCATGCTTGAAACGACGGAATCTTCCAGGAATGCCGCTGACGCTCTAGAAACGGCTAGAACGGGCGGAGAGTGCCGTTGAGTCAGGGATGAAATTTTCGGGAGCGTCTAGAGACTTCTCGTAGCAGAGTTGGACTTGGTATAAATAGCCCGGTATAAATAGCTTAGTTTAAGAGTATTGAAATGAAAAGTTAAATTGTTATAAATAAACTAGAATTGTTAGTTAGTGTCTAAGTATTATATAAATTAATTAGTACGTCTTAAATAAATTGTAAATAGTGTGTTTTAGATAAATAAACTATAAATAAATTAGACTATCGTCACATTAATCAATGACTGTCTTTTGAAAGTGATTGAAATTTTGCATGCAAGCTTTTCTTATGCCGTGATAGTCGGTGTTGTTACAAAATCACCATGGTTAAAATCACGATAAGGGAGAACGAAAATGACTGCCTTCAGAAAATACGAACGGCCTATGAATTATTATTATTATTATTATTATTATACATTGATAAAAGCTGAGGACACAAGTCCTATGATAGCCTAAAAACAAAATAGAAAAATTCTAACAAAGTAAACACACTGAAACAAAAATAACACTAAAAATTGAATAAAAATGTTAATTAAACAAACACGCGTCTAACTTATTTTTAAAGACGTTAACTGTTATGGCACCAACAACTTCGTCGCTGAGGTCGTTCCATACATTAAATACCCGGTTGGAAAGGAATGATTGTCTGTGCTTCGTTTTTAGGTTTTCCTTTTTTAATTTTAGTTCGTGACCACGTAGACGAGAGTCAGTATTTAACAAAAAAATGTCACTAAGATTTCCGTAATTATATTTAAGTATTCTAAAAGTAAGAATTAAGTCCCCTCGTAGTCGACGATTCGCAAAAGTTGACAAGTTTGACAATTGTAGTCTTTCTGCATATGATGGTCGGACTGCTCCAAAGGTCATTCTGGTAGCCCGGCGTTGAACATTTTCTAAAAGGTTCTGGTCTCGCACAAGAAGCGGACACCAAACTACACCTGCATATTCTAATAAAGGTCGAACATAAATCTTTGCAAGTACTTTTTAATTTTTATTGTTTTATGTTCTGAAGTTGTTGCAGATATTTAAATGAACCTACTATAAAAGTGAAGATCTTATTTTTACGTACGATCTCACTGATACAATCGTACAGAGTTGAAAAATCGTATAAATACGATTTAAATCGTACGGTTGGCAGCAATGAGACAGACAGTAGATGTAGAGAGCAGTGGACAGTTTGTAAATATAAATGTCAGTTTGTTTTATGTATATCGAAAAATCTTGAATTTAAATTTAGAGTTCATGATTGTGTTATCCTCTAGATGAACTAAGCGAAATGGTTGTGGCTGTTTTTGTGTGAAATTTGAGGACAACAATTATATTGTTTAATATTACAATAAGTCGAAAGACGTATTGCATTAGTAACACATGCCACATGAATAAATTTAACAACCCCAATGTGGTGTTCTTTATTTAACCAAAGTAAGATCTAGTCATGTAAGTAACACAAATAGTAACCAACTTTTGTCACAAAGTACGTATTTATGGATTATTTATTGTTTTAGAAGAAGAAAATGGCTTCAATACGTTAGAAAAAAGATTTGATATAGGAAGAAAAATATCTGAATTCCTATTAATGAGTTTGCACTCAACATTTTTAAATAAGACACCACTGGCCATTCGTTTGGAAAATAAAAAGAAAAATGTAATGCTACAGATAACGATCAAAAATTTTAAAAATATATTTTTAATTTGAATAGATTTGCAATAATTAATCGATAATAGACTGTAACTGTAGTATTCTTTTTAATAAATAATTTAGCGTAATTACATTGTTTAAATTTATTTACAAGAACATGAGAGCAGTCGATATTTATACAAATCAGTTTTTTAAATTTCCCGCTGCGTTGTTTGATATCGATGAAAGCGCCACATAGTGGGTCAGATGTTAACTGCGTTAAAGCTGGTCGTTGTTAAGCATTGGCTTCTTATGAGCGTTTCCTATCTTTACCTCCCTTATATCTGGAGTAAATTATCTTTAATATCTCTAGAAGAATAGAAGAATAGTACTGCAGTGCATAACTTTTATATATAAACTAGTTAATAATTTATTGGACTGTCCAGACCTGCTATCCCCAATTAAATTTAGTGTACTGCATTTCAATACAACATATAAAACGGTATTTTACTTGCCCACACCTTGAACAAATATTTTGACAAATTCACCTTTCCATACCATTTGCAACAATTTTAATAGATATGTAGCTGAATTAAATTTGAACATAAACTTTGACTCTCTTACAAGCATTAAACGTAAAATCAATGAATACTTAGACAATATTAATAAATAGTTATAGTTTAATTCTTTTGTTAGATTTTATAGTGTCAGTTTAAATATGTGAAGCACAAAGCTATTAATTTAAGTATTTTATGTTATTTAATTTAAATTAGGAATAAATATAGGTAAACATATATTTTTTTTATTGTATGTGTCCTCTAATTGAGGTTTAACCTGTTTGGACAGTAAATTTTTTTTTATTTTTTTTATTTTTTTTAACTTAACTTCCTTCTTGCCTCATATTTACTCTTACCCTGATTTACCCGATAAAAAAACTGAAAAACATACAGGGTTTACGATTATATCATTGCGTTATTTTGAAGTAATAGTGCATCCGGTATATTTCGAATTAATTATTCTTATAACTTGATTTAATACATTAACTTTGTAGATCGAAATATTAATAAGCTTCGTTACACTTTGTACTTACTGTATATGAACAGTTCCACCATTTATTTTTTGAAACATTTTTTTTAAATATATTTAAATATTATGTCCGTTTCATTCGTAATTCTGGTAGAATAAGTATATTAACACAATTTTCTAATATCTTTATTTTTTGAGATATAGTCATTGTAAGTTTGTAAATTATTATTTCGTATATAAATTTTTTGTGACAAATTACATAATTGTTTTTAGATTGTAACCAATAATACTTTCTGGAAACCAGGTATAGTGGGGATAAACTCATTTGGATTTGGTGGCGCTAACGCACATGTTATTCTTAAACCTGTCAGAGAAAGTAAGAAAAAGCTGGTAGTTAATCGTAAACATCGGTTAGTACAAGTTTCTGGACGCACCGAAGAGGGCGTAGATTATTTTCTAAAACAAATTCATGCAAATCAAAATGATGAAGGCTTTCTGAGCTTGATTGATGAAATTCACAAATGCAACATTGAAGGACATCATTTTAGAGGGTAATAATAAAGTTTTTATTAATTAATTAATTTATTTTTTTTTACAAAAATTAATTTCATTAATTTACCAATTTCTTGTATGTTAAGAGCAAGCTGAATATCTAAATTCTAATTTATTTGAGCCTTTATTTTTGTTCCGACTTTTGTTAAATTTTTAGGAAATACAATAATAACAAAATTTAGGGTGGAAAACCTTAATTTTTTTGTAAACTTTAATAAAATATTTTTTATAATTTTTAAAAGGAATTAAAAAAAAAACATTTACGCGCCATTCTGTATAAAATCTCTAAAAATTTACTGCTTTTTGTTTTAATAAATATCGAGAAATTATTAAATGAGAGGGTTTCCCACCTTTTTTTATTATATATCTCTGTAGAATGTTGTTTTATCGTTGCACAAATTAAAAACTTTCAATATTCTCGAGACACATAACATCGCGAAGTATTTATTCCTAGTTGCGCACATATAAATAGCAATTTTATATTAGAAAATCCTAACAACATTTTTGCTTCTCGCGAGAGGTCCAGTTCGCTTTTAAGTTTGGTAATTTTTAAACAATTTTATATAGAATTTACAAATATGTAGGTACATTAGCTTTTTTAACAGCAAATTCATTAGCAAAACACAAAATATAAATTTTGACATTGGCGCTTCTTGAACCTTACAAACTTATTTTTAACACGAACGTACATATTATTTATTACTTTTAATAAAATTCTAGGTACACAGTTATGGGACAAAACACTATACAAGAAATAACAACGTACAAGTCTGGGAAGAGACCCATTTGGTTCATATATTCTGGGATGGGTTCGCACTGGCCCGGTATGGGAAAAGATTTGATGAATATCGAACCATTTAAAAACACATTTAATCGTTGTGCAGAAGCTGTTAAGCCATACGGAGTGGACCTGATAGATGTTATTATGAGTTCATCTCCATCAAAACTTGAAAACCTTGGAAATTGTTTCACTGCTATTGTAGCCATAGATATATCTTTAACGGACCTATTAACATCTTTAGGAATTAAACCAGATTTTTTTGCAGGACATTCTTTGGGTGAAGTAGGTTTGTTAACATTTCCATTATACAGATCTAAAAATTTTCCCTAACAGTCTCATATGCCATATAATCACCAATTCAAGTCATAGTAACATTATGTTTCCTACTAATTTTTACTTACTTTTTTAGGTTGTGCATATGCTAACGGCGACTTGACTGCAGAACAAGCAGTATTATTGGCATATTCGAAACACTATGCAGTTAGCAAACAGGAACTTCCTCTTGGACAAATGGCTGCTGTTGGTCTTTCTGCAAATGAAATACGAAAATGTCTTCCTAATGATATTTACATAGCTTGTGACAATGGAAGAAACAGTGTGACGATATCTGGACCTGAACAATCCGTAAAAGATTTTATAGAAAAACTAACAAAACAAGGAGTATTTGCTAGATTTGTTTATACAGGGCAAATTGCTTTTCATTCTAAATATTTAATGGATTCCGATAAACATTTGCTAGAGTTTGTTCAAAAAGTGATTCCTTATCCACAACCAAGATCGGAAAAATGGATAACCTCTTCAGTTCAGCCAGAGAAAAGCGATGAGGATTGGACCAAATATAATTGCGCTGAATATCATACCAATAACTACAAGAGCACTGTTCAATTTAATAGAATTTATAATTGTATTCAATCGAATGCTATCGTTGTGGAAATAGCACCTCATGGAATAATGCAATCTATTATGAAGAAAGAATTAGGTCCTGAAAATACTCTTATTAGTCTATTAGATAAAAATGTTAAAGACCAGGCAGAATGTCTCTTAACATCAATCGGAAGGTAAATTTGTACCAAAATACGAAGATTTCTGAAATTTGGTTAGGACAGTAACGATAAATAGATAGCTAGATTTATAGATATGTGTTGACTACTATATATTTGTACAAAATTTGTAGCACGTCTTAATTCACACTAATATAAGTTTACATAAAAATATAAGCATATAATTAAAATTATACATAAAACAATTAAATTCAAAAATTTAGTAAAACAGTTTATTCACATGTTATAAGAAAAAAAATTATAATTTTTTAGAATATTTAACGCTGGTGGCCAACCAAACCTTCGCAATCTCTACAACGAAACTAGCTTTCCGGTAAACTCGTGTACCAAAATGTTGGCACCTTTGGTGAAGTGGGATCACAACACTACGTGGTTCGTACCATATTGGAAGAACAAAGATTCTTTTGGACAAACTGTTAGAATAAATCTTTCTGACGAAAAATACTCTTATTTGAAGGGACACAACATAGATGGGAAAGTAGTAATGCCTGCTACAGGTTATTTGGTAAGCATTTGCTGTTACATAAAAGCTTCTTAATAATATTTAATAATCCTTTTGGATATTACATAAAATGTATAGGACAAGTCATACAAATTACAAAAAGAAGTATTGACTGATTTTACAGCTGTAACATAAAAAACAGCTAAGTGCAAGTCGTTCTTACGCAATAATGTTCTATGCCGTAGTTATTTTAAAATAATATAGTTCTAGTCCAAATAAAAGAGGAATGCATATAGATGTACTTTGAAAAATACCTTTCTGTAATATAAATAAGGTCACGGCATATAAAATGGTATATACGAACTTCGTAAATTAAATTTTATATGAAAAAAGTTATATTATTTACAAAAATAAAAATAATCCTTATGCTTTTGACTAAATTGTTGCACTTTAACATTGAACAAGTTAAATTTAACCAAGGCGGAGGAAGATTATATGTTGTTAATGGCCGTCTTCACTCTAACTACTAACTACTGGTATCATTATTATTGTCTTTTCTGAGGTTTATTATTATAGGTTCTATTAAGTTTTCCATTGCTATATTCACTTTTCAAAATGAGTTTTCCACCTTTTTAACATGATCAATGCATTTTCTCCAATATTCTCCATTTACGTCGGAAACTGTCTTCAAAAACAAATTTCGCACATCAGGTAATTTAAATGTTGTCATCGAGATAGAATAAAGTAGAGACGACATAAATACTATTTTGCGATATGGCAGATGGACGCACATCAAGTGACGGAAAAGTGTTATAAAAATGGTGACTTAAGTCAACATTCTTTGATTACTATACGGTGCAAGAGAGAGGTCCGACCCGCCTAACATAGGGCGCGGCCATTTTGATTCCTGTGCTACAGTTTATAGCTAAAGAATCAGAACGCTCACTCTGCGTCGGCACTTTTGATCTCAATGTTCCAGTTTATACACTCCGCAACTCGGATAATACAATATATGACAACCGCCTATATTAAAACAGCAGTCTTCTGCGTATCCTGAATTTGTATCCTTGGAGTGGATGTTATTTTGGAACTTTCAACTGGTCCAAGTGACACTGACAGCAGCAATCAAAATATCAGGTGCGTTTTAATCATCCGCTTCTGCTTTTGGAATTGTCGGTTTAGTCGTTTTAACCTGTCAGATTAAAACAAGAAAACCGACAATTCCCAAGCAGAAGCAAATGTATCAAACGCACCTATTAAAAATATTGCGCCAAGATGTAGGCAACACATAATAAGGGATCAAAATGGCGGAGTTTTCTATCTCCTTTTAAAAGGCACTCAGAAAGCTGCGCAGTGCGACCGTTCTCCGTATAGTAATAGAAAATCAAAGTACGACTCAAGTTCTTTGATTTTTTATTTAAATTCAATAATTTTATATTTGAAGTCTGACGGAATTATGAAGACTAGAAATAAGTAGGCGAATCGGTCTTGGTCAAATTTCAAATTTGCGTCCCTATTTTTATGAAATTCCAAAAAACTATTGTAGTTGGCGGGTGGCAAAATAACGACGTCTATTTTCTATGCAAGTCAATGGGATTTAAAGCGATTTTTGTAAAATTTAGCAAAAAGAATAAAAATAGGCTGAAATAAAGAACCTGACTACAAGTAACAATGAGTAACAAAAAACGTTAAAGCAGGATTTGCTTCGTTCCGGGTTGCAAAACGGGATATAAATCCGATATAAAATTAAAGAAATCACAAGGAGATAACAATCCAAGTCTTTTTAAAGCTCCTAGTGTAAGTAAAATAATGCATTTATTTCTAAATAATATATATTTATTGTAAAATAGTCACAACTTGTATCTTACGGAGTGTAATTTATTTAATTACAAAATTCTATAATAAAAAAATAATAAAGTCATAAATCCTGACTTACAAACAACAATAATTACACATTAAATTTAACTTACTAGGAAAGAAAATTTGCTTTTTTTATGTTTTTTGATGATAGATACTGTTATTTTTCTTTATTGAACTCCAATTTAGTCATTGCAAATACTTTTTGTTGGACCCTAAACGTTTAGAAAAATGGCAGCATGTGATTCCTAGGGCTGATAAAGTACTGTCTAGTTATGATTCTGTTTGCGAGCTACACTTTTTAGAAGATGAGATTTTAAAATTTGATGAGACTATTTTAACTAATGGTACTATAAACAAAATAAAAAGGGAAAGGCCAAGATTAAATAACGAAGCAATACCATGTATATTCCCGAATCTCCCTTCATACTTGTCCAGTATTAGTAAAAGACGAAAACAACCATTGAACCGAACTGAATTTGTTAGAATAAAAAAAAGGAAGAAAATACTAGAACCTATTTTGTTGAAGAAACTATTCACCAGGATAATGAAATTGTAATTGTCGAATACAAAATCACCACAAAACTGTACTTACCAAATTTCACCATTTAACAAACCTTTTCGAATTTAGTCATACCTAATTTTCATTTTATTTAGATAAAATTAAATAATGAATAGTAAAAAATAATGTTTACCATAAAGACTAATTTATAATTAATACCAACAGTATTTTCTGAACTTTAGTTAGCAATTAAAACAAAGACTTATTTACAATAATTAAAATCAACAGTATTTTCTGTGCTTTAGTTAGCAATAAACAATTTGATTTTTATTATTTTCATAAAATTTTGTAATAATCCCTAACTAAATATTTTCATTTAAACCGTGTCTTAGTATGCCCTCAGCCCTATATAGCTTTAATTAAAAAATAATTAGCTCTACCCATCAAATTTCAACACTTATCATCAATAATTTGCATTTTACTTAAATAGGAATAAATAGTAGATAATGTATCAATTAAAATATGTAAGACTTATTTAGAAATAAATACTTTATTTAGCTATAAACAAGTTTATTTTTATTATTTTGACAAAATTATGTATAATTCCCATAAGAAGCCATGTATTTTGAACTACGTAAACCGTACCAGCACCCATGCTGTTAATTATAAAAGATCAATTGACATGTGATTTTTGGGACCGTATTTTGAGCATTCCGATTCGCCTCCTTATCTCTAGTCTTCATAGACGGAATGAAAATGATTTAATATTATTTAAAAGAATCTATTTAAACGGCATTTATTCTCAACAAACTATCTCGAGTTTGACATTGACGTTAAAATATAATGTAAAGGTACGGACACGTTAGCTTCATCATGGCATCTCCTTTTTTTTTAACTCAATGGTTGTATTATTTTGAGGAACATAACCTTTTAGCTATGACCAGCAGTGGGATTCTCATCTTTCAATTCGGCGATTCTAATGTAATGTCTCTCGCTATTCAACACGTAACGTGTTGAGTTCGCACATAAGAATCCCTGTCCTGATCAGTTCAATGAGATTTAACTTTGCGTGGTAAGAAGGCAATCGGAGAATTTAAATTTCTTTTTCTCAGGCATCTCGTCTATAACATATTTTTTGAATTTATTTTTATGTTGCCTTACTATTACGAGTAATTCTGCCTTATATTTTTAGAATAAAGCCATTTTTAACCGACTTCGAAAAAGGAGGATGTTCTTAATTCATCGCAATATTTTTTTATGTATGTTCAGCGATAATTCTTTACCACGGTGTCCGATTTCAATGATTCTGTTTTCTTTAGAAAGGGAGTACTACAAAGGTGGTCCCAAATAAATTTGGTCAAAATATAATAATTGAGTCCCTGAGAAAATCCTCAAACTCTTCTTTTTTTTTAGCGATAATGCTTTACTACCTTGTCCGATTTATATGATTATTTTTTTGTTAGTAAGAGGGTACCTCAGGGATGGTCCCATATAAATTTGGTTAAGATGTGGTGATGCACGTTTTTGAAGTCGGTTTTTTAATTTTTAATTTCTAATACTTGTAAAATGTCTTCTCCTTTTTAACTTATTGTAGGTGGTGACTACATTAGTCGACTGTAATAGGATGCATTATCCAAAACAATAACGGAGTTGGCTGGATTTTTTTATAATGTTCTGAAACCAATTTTCAAACATATGGCAATCCATTGCTTCGTGGTAGTCTTTTGTTTTCTTTGACTCGAACATTAATAAACCATCTAGCAAAAATTCATCGGTGTTTCCAATGTGGGTTATTATTAAATAATTTCCTTTTCCTGTTGAATTTTTTAATCTACAAGAGATCCTTTCCATAAAGGCTTATTTTTTAGTTTTATAGAAAGTATCTTATCAAATTTTAATTACTGTATATTCATCATTAACCATGTTCCATCTAAATAAAATACCTGTAAATGCTAATTCCTTGCGTCCGCTATTTTTCTCAAATAATCATGTCTACACGCACAGATTTCGTCTTTCTTTGGTAAAAAGCTGTTTATGTCACGTTTTTAGTAATAGAAATTTTATTTATGTAATATTTTTTGCAGATGAAAATATAATATATTTGGAAGAGTGGGGCTATTTTCTATTTTTAAGTGTAGGAATTTCATTTTGAAAGAAAAAAGAATGTACCATTGGTCTTATACATTTTTCAAGTTTTAATAAAGGTATTTTTTCTTCCTGGGGCTTTTTCGCGTGTAAGAATTCTCCAATAACTAACTTTATCTTCTATAATAATATTATACATTGTCCGCTTGGATACTTTAGTACAGGTCTCACATTTGTGGCTAATTCATCCACAGAAAGTGTAAAACAAAGACTCGTCATTCTAGGAAACGTACTAATACAAAAAGAAGTGCAATGTCTTCCATCACCCTACAGTGTGCTAAGGTCGTAATAAGTAAAAGTACGAGTAAAAGAAGAAGATAGAATAGAAATGTCATTGCTTGTCAAGAAAAATTCGGATAGTTCAAGTCCGTTTAAGTCAGAGTTTTAGTTTTATGAAAGATGTTATATGTTCATGTTATCAATTATATAGTTGAATTGAAAAAGTTGAGTTAAAATAAATTAGGTTTTTTTTTTCTCTCCTGGGCTCGTCTGACTATGTGTCTCCGAATAACACTGAAGCCTATTGGCTTATTGTGTTTTACCCCATGTTAGTTCATAG